AGGACATTATTTCTCACGAAATAATGTGATAGTGTCAAGCAGAGAACAAATATTTGACCTGCTTAAATTAGCGTAACAGCTTGGTTCAGAGCTTGCTTACCCAAGGCAGCAACAGGTACAACTCTTCAGGCTTTATTTAGAAGCTGTAATCCTGCAGCCTTTCACACCAGATATTGTCTTGCTCAAACAGTCCTGGCACAGAGCAAGCCTCTCTGCCCCTCACTGCACCCACCAAGACCAGTGAGATGACCAGCTTTACCCTAGGTGGTCCCATGCCTCTGCTGTGTGGTTGCTGCTGGGTTTGATAACTAATCTCTGGTCAAATGGCAGCAAAACAGTGATGACCCTACAGTCACCAGATGGTTTATGATGACTTGTATGAATCTACTAGAGCATCACAGCTTAAATCCAGCTTTTTATTGTTTATTTTATTATTTACTTTATCAACCAGCCTCCCTGTGGGTCTTGGCCCATAATATACACATTTCAACAGACCACTTCTGGACAGTTCAGTTGCCTGAACTATTCCCTGTTTCTTACCTCTAATCAGTCCTTCTCTCCTTTAAATCTGCTAGTAACTCAAAACCTAAGCAATCCTCAATATTCTCTTTCTTTGCACACCTTGTCCTCAGAGCGGTGGTGCCAGGTAGGTAAGATGTCAAATCCAACAGAAATTTATAGAAGAAATTATATTACTATAAACTGTCAGGGTTGCCAGTTTTCTCCTCATTCCATTCGTTGATCAAATAACTCCAAAGGGAAGGTATGGGAGGCACCCAACATAACCTGCCCCAAATGTCTGGCTGGCTCAGTGTGGCCTCTCCCAACTTAGGAGTGGTAAGTTTCCTTGGGAACATGGATAACTGAAATGAGAAGGACAGCAAACAACGGGAGCTCTTTTCTTCGAAACAAAATTAATCACAAGAAAGTTTCTGGACCCCTGTGATGGGATTGGGAAACACATGGGGCCCCCAAGGTATTCTCTGCTTGTTCTACCAATTTGGAGATGCTCTGCTTAAGAGAGCAAAGGAGAATAAATGTTGCATACCTGCATTCCCAAGTCTTAAGCCAGCACTCCGTAGTGGTTCAGTGAAAAATACCATTGGGTGCCACTTCCTTCTGGAAGGGTGACCGTGAATAACTGTCAGCCCCTCCTTCTCCCACCCCTCCACCTTTACCCTACACAGAGGATGCTGCAGACCCTGACAGGGATCTCTCATCCTCTCCAAGATGAATCTTGAAAGCTTCCTCCATACCTGCACAAAGGTCAAAGACATTTCAGCATAGGCTTGAATTTAATGCTGATGTCAGTTTGTTCACTTATTAAATGGTGACACTTTAGACTGGCTAAGAGAGGGGTCATCAGTTGCTGAGTTTCTAAATATACTAAACATGCTGCTGTGTGTGTAGGTTAATGTTTCCTTCTCTTCCTCCTGGCTGATTTATTGTGCCATTAGCTCAGATTCCTGCTCTGTCAAGCCTCTGCGTTTGTATTGCTGCACACCAGCCAGGCAGGCTCCCAGCTGCACCTACAAAACAGCTCGGGGAGTGCTTTGTCCTTTGCTGTATTTTGTCGTGCAGGAGATGCCACCAGTACTATTAGCCCTGGGAACTGCCCAGCAGACAGCTTTTCCTGAAGAAGATGAGATGCTCAGATGCACGTGTGGCAGCATGAGGCCCCTTCCCACTCTGACCACCATGGCCAGAGTGGCTCCTGCTCCATGCAGTGCCCTGCTGCACCTCTAGGCTTTGCTATCAGAGGCATTAATGGCCTCAGCTCCTTCTCCCTTCTTTCCAAAGAAAATCCTGAGCAGTAGTCCATGCAGGGAGGGCTACTGGTTCAGTAGTGCATGGAAAGGCTGCAGCAAAATACAGCTCTTTAAACCCTATTCTCTCTCAAGATTATGCATCCAAACTGGATCCTCCATCAGATACTCAGGAAACTGTCAGAATGAATTAAGAGCCCTAAAAGGCCAGGGCTGTAACTCAGTGCCTTTTAAGTGCCAAGATTTTGTTGGGAGTGGAGGGAGGGAAGTAGCCACTAATGTAATTTCCAGCAAGAATACACTCCTCTAATATAATTTGGCCTGGCCACCCTTTCAAATGCAGCCTTTCCTCAGCTGGTCTGGTTCAGGGCCATCCTCTTAAATGCCCCAGTAATTACTGATGCAATGAAAACATGTGCTCAGGCTTTGCTCTGGCCTTTTCAGCCTTGGAGTGACACCAGCTTTCAGCATAGAGCACATTGCTTGGCATGTAACTGGACACATAAATATTGGGGGGGGGGAGGTGTTTTACCAGCTATGTTCAATAAAGACACAAATGGCTCATTTGCTTAGGCTTTGTTCCTTTTTGTCTTTGGTTAAGGTCTGCAAGTTGCATGGTCCATTACCAGATTAATAAGCGTCAGTTACTCCGATCCAAATTCCTGATCCAAATTTTAATTTCACCAGTTGCCTGCTTTAGTTGTCTTTTTGCCAACACCTTAGGCTGCTGGTAGCAGAGTTCCTTAGCCCATTACTCTGTGCTTTCCTTGAAAAGGAATGGTATCCATGGAAGAGACACTCGCTCTGCCATATCCATCCCCTTAGGCAAAAACTATCAGAGGAAGAAATTGAAAGTGTGTCAGAAAACAGTCTCTCTTGCCTCATCCTTTGTGAATTAAACCAAGATTTTTCCAACAGCTCTTTGAAGATCTCCTTGCAGCATTGAATATCACTGAAGAATCACAGGACAGCACTGATTTACTTCTCTTGGGTTAATTTTGGTTATCTTTATTTAATACATCTCCTGATTGTATGTGGCAGCCAAGTGTCAAAGCTGTTGAATTGTCCCCAAAAGCAGTTAGCTTGGGATTCATTACTTTTATTCCTTGTAAACAGCTGGTACTCAAGGACTGACTATTCTGGGGGACTCCCACTTAAGGGATAACCACCAATCCCCTCTCCCCCTTGTCCAAACCAGTGGGACTGAAGTATTTGCACCATGCAATTTTTAGAAGGTAAGAACCACGACCAAGGGGTTTTGCTGTGACATTTACAGGGCTGTAACAAGCAGAAGATGTTAGAAAAGGGATGGAGTGAGAAACTGAAAGAGAATCTGATGAAACCCAGAGCCTGCAGAGCAGTGAGGGCATTGAAGAGTTTTGGAGAGAAGCTACAAAGGTTATGAACTTTGGTGCCATTAAAGGAAACCATAAGAAGAAAGAAAGGAGGAGATGAGGTACGTGCAGATTTATGGGTAAAGATAGCATTGACAGCTACAATTTTGGATGATTTGAAGTGAAGAAAGAAATGACGTAGGCATTTGGCAAGCCAGAGAGTGTCACAGAAGCTGAGCTTTTAGAAAGGACAGGCAGAAAATATACCACTCCAAAGACTCATTCATTCTCTGCCTGTGTATACACTTCCATTTCTCCTGGGGACAGGCGGCACTGCCCTTTTCTAGGATGCCCTGTTAAACAAAAAAAGCCCTGGTCCAACAGATTTGCAGGCTGCTACTGCAAGGCAGGACCCTGTTCCCAAAGCCTGGGTGCCAGCTGCTGCAAGTGTCTGAACCCTAGGTGCCATCACCATTCCCATTGTCCATCAGCACACAGTGCTTTGCTTTCTGGTTTGCAGCCATCAACTCAGACTCTGGTAGGCGTTACAAAGCAGCCTAGTACATTATCAGGTAGCAGGAGGAGACAATCCCCCAAACCACAGCCCAAAGCCTTATTAAAAACCAGCACATTACAGATTCCAATCAGAAATCAATGAAATGGGAGCTGTTCTGCTCATGGCGTGTTGCACGGATCAGTTTGGGGCTGAGGCAGCAGCAAGCCCAGGAGCAGGAATGCACAGTCACACTCCCAAGCTGTGATGCACATCAGTGTGCCTGCACAGAGCTGGATCCAACTGCAGTCAGGGAGAGGCAGCAGGCATGGGAGAGGAGGCGTTAGGTTTTTTCCCATCCCCAGCATCTTAAGCTAGGTAATTATATTTCAAAACTGTGTTTTTAAACCCAAAATTAATTAATTGAAAGTAGGGACATAGGGTAACTAAGGTAGCATGATTTATTGACACGAGCTGCTAATATATGCAGTAGGTAATTACATATATTTAATCCTATAGTAAGTGCAAGCTGGATCTTTAGTATTCATTAATACAGTGCATGACATAAGATCATAATGGTTTTGTACCTGCCTAGAGTTGCATACTAATCATTAGAAAACTCTCCCACAAGCAATTTGCTGCTACACAAGGCCTTGGAACTAAAATATCCCAATTAACTTTTGAACCAGTCTTGGCACAATGTGTAAAGAAACTCAGAGAAGGAAGGAAGACAATTCACAGCAGACCAGGGCACCACCCAGCTGAAAAATGCCCAATTAATGATAAATCATTAATTAATAATAAATCAGAAATAAGGACAAAAGGTTTCTTTTGCAGCCCCTTTTAAATTATATGTACTTAACACCTTCCCAGGTGTCTTTTTCATGCTTTATCATCTGAGGGGAACGAGACAGTAACAATAGTATGAAACTTTTTTTTTTGTTCCCTTACATTTTACATTGCTTTCTTTCTGTTAAGATACCAAATTGTTTGTGCTGTATTAATAAAGTCCTTTTAAAATCCATGCCTTGCAAATATTCTCAGACTGATCAAACTGATAGGTCCTTTTGTGTACACGTGCATCACAGTACAATTTTAGCTACGAAATCACATCTCCTGTTTACATATTCTACTATCTTAGATTTGTTACTTTAATGCCCTTTGGAGGTAGGGAGCTTTTAATTAAAAATTATTCAACTTAAAACTGAAAGGCCACTGGGATTACCAGATTTCTCAGAGAATCCAGCCTTTTGGGGAGTAGAGATGAACACCTTGGAAAAGATGAGTTCAGATGAAGCATCTCCAGGTCTAGGATGGTAACACCCAGCAGATTCCCCGGTGGCTGGCCAGCAGGATGTGCTGCAGGGAGTGTGTCTGTCCTCAGGAACCTCCCAAAGTGCTCTCCTGCATGGCAGGATGCTGCTGGAAACCACTCCTTGCACAAGCACAGAAAATTAAAAGGCAGCTGTGCAGTGCCCAGATTTTCAGAGTTTATGGCAAGTTTCTTGCCCGAGTGGTTCCTTGACCTTTTATTAAGACCTCAGTTAAAATTAAAAAAAAAAAAAAAAAAAAAATTAAAAAAAATTGAACTATTGAACTGGGCTACAAATGCTGATGCCTTGGCTTCATAGCAACACAAAAACACAAATAGCCCAGATAAGTGATAGGTATGAAGAGTACACTAATTTTCTTTCCTTTTTTTTTTTTTGTCAATGATTGGTGGTTTTCAGTATAATTTTGGAAATCCATAGTTAAACTCTTCTAGGTAGGTAGTAAAAGTTGCATGCATTTCTTGATTGCTTTGATGCATTATCATTATAAAGCAACATCCACATTTACTTAACCTTTATGGAAGTGCCAGTTTAAGTGCAGCTGTTGCAGTACTGTCACTCGGACAGATAAGTCACACATTTCACAGAGTCCTGTGCAACATTTACCACAAAGCAGAAAAGAGTGGCTTGTATGAAAATAATGCCTAGATTTAAGGCTTTTAGTCATGAATTCTGCACATCCTTTGTTCCATTTGCTCTTATAGACACTTTTTCACGTAGCATTTACTAGGCTTCCCACGTGAAATTTGCTCTTTAATACTTGCTAATAAATAAGTATATAATTACCCTGATTCCTGTAGTTGAGTGAACTTTCTGGAACAACAACAAAAAATACATGTACATTGCACAACATGAATGAGCATCCATAAACACGCTACTCTGAGATTTGATTTATGGCAATACAAAAGTGAGCACGTACACTTGGGAGTATCCCAGACACGATGGTGGAAACAGCGAGTGGGAGGGAAGAGAGAGGACAGTGTATAACTGGTGATTGAATGATCATGGTCAGATGGTCAAGGGGATAAAAACGAAGAGACCCTCCAATGTAGACACCAGAGCGAAAGCAATGTGCATGTGGTGATGCTGTGATTTCAGACAGGTCACCGATGATGTCCCAGCCCCTTGGGGTCAGGCAGTGCCCAGCCAGCTCCGCACAGAGGTAAAAAATACAGAAATAGGTTCCTTCTTTAGCTTCCCTCCTCGTCTGATTTTATCCTGGGAGAGAACTTCTTGGCTATTTCACAGTTTATTTGTGCAGTTTGTCCTTTGTTGTGGTCTGTGTTGTCTGCATTTCTGTGCATGCATAGGAGACACACACAGACAAACACCTTCGCCTGAAGGTGAAGTTAACCAGCTTTTTTGGCTGATTTGTTGATTTGATTCTGAAATCACTTACTGAAGGGCCTCTACTCCTTTCACCCTTGAAAGGAGTATTGTTAAGCTTAATGTCGCTGAAGTCATTGGTGAGACAACACTTGCAAAGTTCACATTGTAATAAAAGAGAAAGTCCCTATAAACACCACATCCAAGATATGCTTCGTGTTTATGCTGGGAAGGGTTAAAGACAAAACCTCTGAAGAGCCTACATTTGGGTTTAACAGTGCTGACTAGAGGTAATTGTTACACAATATTCCTGGTTGGTGAAACTCAGTTTCCAGTAGCTTAATGTTGCTTTGGTGATGGAGAACAAGTTGCCATCCGCAGCTGCATGGAAGTCTTACTGGCACACACTGTTTGACATTTCTCTATTAAGACAGGATGCAGTGGTCCTATTTTTTCCCAATCTGACGATTTTTAAAAAAGAAAAACATCTCAAAATGGCCATCAGCAGCATGACGTCTATTTGTTTTCACATGGAGGTGGGCGGGGTGTTTTTTAGTCCCAGTCCTTCTTGGCTAGATGACAGTGTAGCACCTACCACCCTGCTACAAGTGGGATGCTACCCACCTCCGCTCCTTCATGTGAAATATCGACACTGTGTGGAGTCAATGTAGCAGTAAGAAGTGCATCGCAATTTTCCATAAGACCTAAAATAAAAGAGAATATCTCAGTTTCAAAATATGCTACAGTTCACATTATATGGTTTCTGGATGTAACTATCTGTAGGAGTGAAGAACATCAGAATATGTCATATGCAGCAAAATATGGGAACCAGAATAGGAGGGTAGTTTCTATCAGTGCTCCACTGTGTTCTCCTTTGTCAGCAAAATAGTCCAGGAGTCCAAGGGAAACAGTAAGTGAAGACTTAACTTCCAGTAATATCAATTAAAAAAATAAAATCTCCATTGGTAGCAGGACTTGAGCATTACGTGGGGGTGGATGAAGAAGGCCTCAGTGCCCATGGGAACTGTGTAATGAAATATCTGAGGCTCTGAGATAAGTGTTTTTCCAGTTACTCCCAATAGCTTCAGCAGGTGTTATTGTGCCTGTCCTTTAACTTATTTTTCATGTACTTGAGATAATGAGAGTGACACATTCCCACATTTGAAATAATAATTAAAAAAAAAAAAAAAAAAAAAAAAAGGTAAATGGAGGGGTCCTTGCCAGAGGTTTTTGTCTTTCTACTGACTTAAACTGAACTGCAGTGACTATCCACAGACGACCTGACCAGAGACCTTAATAAGCATCTTAATGAGCTTTTATTGCTGACATATGTCTAAGTGAACAACCCATCCACAAAGCCAAGATGTGGACTAAGCAGCCTTAAAACTTGGATAACCCACGTTCTCAGACCAATCTACAGAGAAGATGTGTGAATACGGAGGAGAGGTCTGTGGGCTGGAAAGAGTAGAAAATGGAAAAATCAGTTGCAGCAAAGTTCTTGGAGAAAAGGTTGTTTTGGGATGAAACTCCCATGTGAGTGCCATGCTCACATACTTAGCCCACTTTACTCATGATTCACAGCTTTTTCTTTAGCTTGGCAGATAATTTTCAGACTACACACAGAAAAAATAAAGAACCTCAGTTGCTCTTCACAACTCGACTATATGCAAAGTGAAATTTATAACATTTTCTCAAGTTTTTGTGGTGCTACCTTTTGCACTAAACTTCAGACTTTTAGAAGGGAAGGTTTTCACAGTACAAAACAGCTCCATTCCGTCTGAAAATGATATCTCTGTAAAATGTTTCAGGTTTGCATGTCTACTAGTCTGGATCTTAGTAATGTCTTACAGCAGGAGTGCTCCAACAATTATAGTGGAAAGATTAGCACAGCACTTGATTTACAAAGACATCCTGTGGTTTCTTATTCCTGTCAATTAGCACATCATTGTTCCCTGAATGATGAGGGCTCTGTGCATAATTTAATTTGCAAATTAATTGTTTCCTGTTAGCCAGTAACAATACCTGACAGTTAAACAGAGGTACTGGTGTTGGAGGAAAAACGCTGACCAGAGGAAGCCGCTTAAACAAAGGCAGAGAAGGCAAGTCAACAATAAGCAGATGTTTTAAACGAAGGGCATTGCTAAGCAGATGGATGGCTTTGCATCTGCCGGCAGTGAATTTCCTGCTCTTTGGAAAAGTTGACAGATGCCCAGTGGATTCAGAAGCAAAGATACCCCTAGAGTACTAAAAAACAAGAAGGGCAGTGGGAGGTCGGTTGGAGCATGTGAGTTTGGGTCTTTTTTTAATTTCAGTGTGATTATCTCCTCCTCATGGTTTTCCTATTCTTAGTATGTTATCAGTGGTTGTAAATGCAATGATGATGTTACCAAATGAGGAAATCTTGGCAAGAAATGGGCATACACATGTCTATGTGATCTTTGTTCATTTGGTACTGTAAGAGGCATATGCTTATTACAGAGAAATGAGATTTAGCCCTTAAAGTCAATGATATGCAGAAATAATTTGATAGACTCTTTCTTCTCCCCCTGCCTGCAGTGGTTCCAGTAGAACAAGGTTTAAGTGGGTGATACTACTCTGTTTTAAAGCTAACAAAGAGAAAACACAGAAAACACACACACGCAAAAAAACAAACAAAAAAAAACCCCAACCAACCAGGAAAAACGCCAAACCAAAGCTAAGACCCTCTTGTACATACCCAGGGAGATACGTTCGACATGTCAAATATCCAAAATCCTTCCCATCACAGTCTTCAACCCCCTCATGCCTGTAGCCATCTCCGCAGTAAGCACGGCGACATCCTAGCGAAAAAGGAAGAAAGAAGACCCTTCAAGGCTCTTCACACGAAAAAGAAACAGGTAAAGTAAGTGGAACTAGATTTTTAAGAGTTAAGTATAAAAAAAGTCCTGTAAGGACTGTCTTAGGAGGAGCAATATTCTTCACTACAAAAGAATGAGGGTTTTTTATCTTAATTTCAATGAGCAGGGAAAGAGTGAATAAATACTAAAAATAATTACTTCAGAATCACTAATTACAACAGCATGTATTCTAAAAATTATTATTGCCATAGATGATTACTATCAAAACAAGTTAAGAGAAACATCAAATACAGTTAACATAAATGATCGGGGAGGGGGGGGCGGGGTTGGGGGGAGGGTGTCCCAATCTAAAAAAAGCACTCTGAGGTCACAAAGTGTTTTGCAAATCCCATCCTAGGCCTTTCCCCAATATTGCACAATATCTATGAATGTCTACCGTGAGTTCCTACCGTGAACAAAATTATGCAGACCTATTGCCTATCTATCCAAAAAAAAAAAAAAAAGGTATATAATGATCACCAAAAATTTGGTTTTCCCTCTGTTGACTCCTACTGACTTGAACATGAGTGAGACTTGTGACATTTTTTCATGGTGACTGACATGTAGGCTGCAGTAATTTGTGGGAATTTTTTGCCATTTTAGCAATAGGACTTTGCTTTTGATGTCTTCAGCATATTGAGAATGACTTATAACTTGAACAAACTCATTTAGTTAAAATGGCTTTGATATCTTCTGGGAAAATCCATTGCTATTAAGCAAAGGATTAAAAAGACACTCAGGAATAGGGAATTCATGAGAATTAAAGTGGGTTATTTACAAATAGAAATGATTAATTATTTGCACCAAGGATGTGTTTGGTAGAAATTAATGCTTCTAAGACCAACGAGCCTATTTTACATTTAAATGCATTTAACATTTGGTTAGCCTTTTTCTTTTGGTTCAGTCCCAAGAGAAGAATGATGACAGTGTTCTCATTTCCCAGTGACTTAATGATTACTCTTTGGGTCTCATCAGTATCAGAAATCCATATATTGCAAGGCCTCAATTGCCCAGTGAATACCACAGAGAACAAGATGTGCCCTCAGACACACAGTGTACAATTTTGCAGGCACTAGAACTAATGAACACTATTTTCCCACATGGTTGTTCCCCATGGTTGACTGCATATTCTAATTTAATCATTTTCTCATATCTGGAGACTGGAGAGATCCTGCTCTCTCTCTCTTTCTCTCTCTCTCTCTCTGTATTACTCTGCAGTCAGGCAAACTTAAAGGGGCTTTTATTTATATGTCTCCCTCTGCCTGTTGCGACTGAACTGCATTTGAAATCTCATTCCTGTTGTCACCAAGAAGCTGGCTGGGATTCTTGAGTTACATGGGGAAGGGTGGCGATGGACAGATGGATGGAGAAACTCACATAGAGCATGGCCGCATATACCCCATTTTCAAAGTCAGGGTAAAAAATGGAGGGATATATAAACAAAAAATTGCATCTTTCGGTGTTGGCTGGTATTGTTCTGACAAGTGAAGAAGCATCCCTTTGCTAGAATCAGGACCAAACCTGCTGTGCGGGGAAGGTGTAGTGCTGTGCTCTGGGGAAGGAATCAAACCATAAAAGTAACTGTGGGGGAGAAGTGAAGCTTGCCACAGCTGCTTGAATGTTTATATGCTCTTTGCTATCCAAACCCAGTAAGACTGAAGGAAGATTGAGTAGACATGAATTAAATGTTGTATGAACCTAATGGTGAAGGTAGCGGGCTAAACATGTTCCCTATGCAAGTGAATAACAAAATTCAAAGTGGTGTTTCTGGACCCAGGATCTAGTTTACTGTAAGAAACAGCCAGCTGCAGTGTCTATCCCAAGGACTGTGGTGCACTGCAAAGGTATGCTACATCTTTTAGACAGAGAGCTGGCAGCCCCTGGGGAAAGTGCGTATGCAAACCAGCATGAGAAGTACCTGCTGCCACCTCTGTCTTGTGCTGGTTTGTCCCATCTACGTGCATGAAAGACCTCAGTTTTCACACTGTGGCCACTGTGCCTCCCTTTCCCTGTGCCTGCGCTTGATTCACAAACCACACAAGCTCTCTTGAGTGAAACACTTGTGTGATTTACACAGCACCCTGCAGGAACAACTAATGCACCTTCCCTGGTAGAAAGAAGCCCCTCTTGATGCCCTGTAACTTACTTATACAGTCATCGGTCACAACTGCATTGCCATCGTCGCACTCTTCCCCGTCCTGTACGATCCCATCTCCGCAGGTACCACTGTCCTCAAAGCGGTAATCCACAGGATACAAAGGGGTGAGCTGACCAAACAAACACACAGTGGTTACTTAACCAGACCGGCAGCAGCCTGGCTAGCAAGCAGAGTTGAAGGGCTATGGGAGGCAGATCCCAGGACTGGGTTTTGCTAATTGATGGTTCACGGGGTTTATAAAGAATCTAATGCAAAGTCCAGTGGATACAGGAAAGATCTTGCTGCTGATTTCAGTGGGACTTAGTTTAGCTCCTTGAAGCAATAAGGAAATACGTGAGTTTGGTTTGCATGGTTTGTGTTCTTTACACCCTAGAGAATTTTGCTTTATTTTGTATTAAATAAAAAATGGTCTTTACTACCTTAATTCCCCAAACTCTGCCCCAGTTTGTTCACCAGTGGAACCTGGTTCACAGGGAGGTCAGCAAAACCTGCAAGAGTGCTGAGTTAATGCCTCAGTATTTAAGACTCCTGTGAACAAAATTCACAGAATTATGTACATTTGTGGAACTGCTGAAAAATGAGCTTTTTCTCCATTTCTTTAATTGATTTTTTATGACACCGTAAGTACAGAAGTATGTTCTGCATTTCAAAATGAAATATACACTCACGAGTTTTCTGAGACCATATTTTCACCTGGACTGGGAGCCATCCAAAGGTATCCTTGAAATACAAAGATCTCTGATCTCTTCTAAAAGCTAAGGCATTTTCAGTGTTTAACCGGTCCAATTCTTCTTGATTATTCACCACAAAAATCTGGGGCAAAGAAAAAGAGGTGGTTGGTAACCCTCTCAAGAAGTTTTTTTGATTGTCACAGAACTGAGTTTTGCCAACTGGCATACATATCTGCAAATAGGTAAATAATTACACAGAAAAATGGTTTGGTTGTCTTCAGAAACAGGATGGTGTGAGAACTTACATCCATGAATTTCCAGACCACAAGAGGCTCCTGGTTAGAAGAGATCCAAGTTTCCAAAGGAGAATGGTCTTCTCTGAGCACCTAGCTATGGCCCCAATTTCAAAATGCATATCCACAGATAAGGATCATTCAAACATCTGTGCACAGTCATTGCTGAGAACTGTCAGGTGCTCAAATGGTTTGATGCTGGAACAATTGCAAAATCCATATGGGCACAAGCTCTTTTTGTGGGTTTATCTACATCTTTTAAAGACATGCTCACTACAAATTAAATAATGAATGGCTCAAGGCAACCTTCACTTATCTTTTGCTATTTTGCTTAGATTTAATTGGCATTAAAATGCATGTTTCTTTATTTGCATATATTTTGTTCTAGAGCCAAGTCTTCAATTAAACAGAAAAAAATTAGTTCAAAATGGAAAAATAAGGACAAGCTGCTCTCTTACTCATTTTTTAATGTCTCATGTGAAATTGGATGTAAGAGGCATTAGAAAATAGTCTCTTCCTTCAGCAGTTTAATCAATTTAATTTTTGCAAGATTCAACCAATTTTTAAATTAAGAAAAAGCAAGAGTACTTCTGAGCAAAATGGATTTAGAGTTGAGTCTGACTCCCACCAGCATAAACAGAACTGGCTCTTTTAAGAACAAATTACCCTGAAATTTTCACATAGCAGAATATTCCCATAGCTCTGGACAAAGGCCAATTTCATTAAATAAGCATTGAATAAAAATGCCTTCAGCTTGAATGACAGAAAGCAAAGAAATAGGAAGTCAGCAAAGAACTGGTTCTGTAATTGTATTCAGGAGCTCACGGCCCAGCCCCGGAGCTCCCACTTCTCTTGAAATCAATAGCAGATCTGTGCTCTCTGAAACTCTTTATTACAGTTACTGGCCTTTGCAATTGAAAAAGATTTAAAAAGCAGAATGAATTTTAGCCAGTGATGGAAAAACAGCACTGTGTTTCTCAGTCTCTGCCTTCCTCTGGCAGTGCTGGCATGGGAGGAGCTGGCGGGTGCGTGGGTGGTGGCACCGAGGATGTGCTGCTGTTGGATGCTGCTTTGGCAAACCACAGGACACAGCGGTTGGGGCACAGAACACCATCTCTGGGTCTTTTCCATGTGCAGCTGTGGAAACCCTGACTACAGTTTTCAAGTGGTACAAGACAGGCTTCAAAGCTGCTACGTGGGGATCTGAACTGAATAAACAATGGCGATGTTTAAGTTCCTGCTCTGATGTTTAAGTTCCTGCTCTGATGTTTAAGTTCCTGCTCTTTACACACGAGGAAGTAAAACAAATAGGGTGGGTAGGAAAAGAGAGAGCGCTGCTCTGCAAGTGCTCTGCTTCCAGAGCTAAGCCTCTCCTCTTTACCATCCCACAGTCCTGATAACCAAATAGCACTCAATCATCATCATGAGGGCTCATAGCAATAGCATATGGCACTTTTATTTTAGGCTTTACTATCTTTTAAGGTCTAATATGAAACTGTGCTTGATGGAGAAGGAGGGCAGTAAGACCTACAAATAATACTGTGTCTTATACCTTTTCCTATGAGTTCTCCAGGTTGTGAAGTATGACAGCTTTTTCTGCAATAGCATGCAGCGTGATGTGTTATCCACCTTTATTTCAGCACTTTTGTCACAGTTCTGTAATGCAACACTGCCAAGGGTGGGAGCAGCTTGCAAGATTTGCAATGCAGTCATGCAAAAGACTGACTTCAATGACCCAGTTTAATGGAGAGTGTTGTCAGTATGTCCCTTTCACACACTGTAACAGCTTGACAACATGACAGATGAAGATGTTAACTAAGCTAACTGCTGCTTATTGACATTCATAGACAACCAGACACTGCACAATTGGGCTGTGCTGATACACAGCAGCAAGGTAGCATCTTCATTGCTGTCTAAGTGCTTTGATTCACAGAATAATAAGGCAGGGCCTAGATGAAGGAGAATTACATAAATAGTATTTACAAAGCCCAGAGAAATCAGAAATTTCACTTTTCACCAATGCCTTGTTCTTTAAAGTATTTTGTCCATCTTGCTCATGAAAATGTTTTCACGACTAAAGGTGGAAATTAGCTACATAAAGTGTATGCCTACAGACAGGAGTTCAGAAGTCTGATTTCCATGGTTTTTGGAAACTCCTTTTGTTTCAAGGCAGAGGGTCTATACTTTGGTAGAAGGATCTATTATATATGCTCACTGCTTGACCCCAATATTTAATTCTGAAACCACCTTCTTTGTAGAAGAAGATATTAAAAAAAACCAAACCAAAACAAAAAAAAACCCACGAAAACAAAACAAACAAGAGATGCTCATTTTACTGACCAATCTGAAATTTTGATTTAATGAAATAAAAATAAAAATAATGAAATAAACCCAGCAGATTATATACGTATAGTACTAGGTGAAAGAGAGAATCCACAGGCTTGAAAGAGATTTCTAAACATGTGCTACCTTACTAATGGTTTGAAACAGATGCATTTCAGCACATGAATCATACAACTCTCAGACTAGTTATGAGACCAAAGTCTTTTGCACCAGCTGGATCTCAGAAATTTTGTATACTAGAAATCACACATTTCCCACATACAGACATCTTCCGTGTTAAATCCAAGATATTCGTGAGTACACGAGATCTTACAATAAAAGCACTTAAGGGCCGCTCACATCCCCTCCCAGAAAATCTGCTTACCGCGGGAACTTTCGGAGAGCTGTGTCCAAACACAGATTCCTCGTATGATGGGTTACTCATATGTTGTGGGTTTGTGCAGAGACATCTCCCTGGGGGTCCTGGAAGTCCTCTTTCCCCCTTTGGTCCTATTGCAAATTGCCCTAGGAAGCAAAGTACCAGGTTGTCTTGTTACGAAGTTAATACACAAAACACAAACACAGCCTTGATGGGGAAAGTACAGGTCAGGTGGATATACACAATTAACCAAGTTTTCATATATGCACATGCCCCACTGAATCCAGTGGGAACTGAGGGAAGGGATTACCAGAACCACTAATTCCCCTACTTCAGGAAAAAGATCCCAGTTGGTACTACAGTCGTATTATTTCAGATAATCTCAGCATTTTAAATTTTTCTACCAGTGTTAAAGAAGAAGAGAGAGAACATTTGCTGAGAATAAATGTCAGCCTGTTTGAAGCTACAGAAATTCAGGACAGGACGAAGACACAGATTATTCTACAGTGTCTGTGCACCAAGTTCTGTAGAGTCAGTCTCCATATACATCCACAACGCTTTGGACTTGTGTATTTGTACAGCCACTTGAGCAATGCTGTTACAGAGGTTTCCATATAGGAAAATCCATCTAGAAATACAGGAGTTCTACAGTTAAACATTAAAAAATGTTTTTTGACTTTCAAACTTTGGCAAGGATGCACTGTTCTGCAGAATTAGACTATGAGCCAATATATTCACACTGCAAGCAGTGACATCATTACATAAATGTCTTTTAGTATCAGAATTTATATTCTAGAGGAAAAAGATTAACAAGCCTGACACATAAACTTCCTGTAGGTTGAATAAAGTCTTTAAAAAGTAATCTCAAGGTCCTGGCTGCCTTCCCATCAGCATGGTGAAAATTCTGCCCTCTGAAAACTTCCAGCTAATTTACTCAAGCAAAGAGTTTTATAGTGGGAGACATGAGATATATGAAGACTCTGAAGCTGCTCCCAGCTTCATGGAATTACCATTTCCACACCACCACAAGAAGAGACATCCTGTCCACTGATGAAAGCAAGGGAAGAAAAAGGGAAAAAAGCAAAACAGAAGGGGGCATTGAACAGATTGGCTGCACTACAAGCTTGTACATTTGAAGCAGCAGTAGTTTCCAACTGGGTTTGCTTTTCTTTTCAGATACTTTAGTGTATATCTGGGCTGAAAATACACCTGAGGGTTCACTGTCACTACATGCTGTGGGTCATAGGTTGTCCTTCATGTCTGTGAGTCGTCTCACAAGGTGTCCAGGGTTCATGTGCATGCACAGCTTTAATCTGAACTATTGTCAGTTACACAGTTTTCCTCATGATTTCTACAACATGCACAACTGCAGTGAGCATAGATCTCCAGCATTTAATTAAAGAGAGTTTTTCTCCACTGGCTCTTTTTCCTCTCTGACTCCTATCCCCTTCTCTTCTCTTTCCTTCTCTCCTTAATGCCACTGTGACTTGGGTTTTATCTGTTTTCCTCTTAAGAGAGCTGCACAGGGTGAGCATGTCCTGTCTCACCAGAAATCACAATCTTTCACTGTAAACTAGGATATATGGAGAAGGAGCAGACCTTTTATCATGGAGATACCCTAGTCTCTCCAAGGTTGCCAGATGGCTTTTCATCCTCCTCATCTACCAAAGTCCCATAGGAACCACATAGGCTTTACTTTTGGGTTTATTTGAAACATCAGAAACCATAAAGTAAGCTTTAAAATAAGGTATAGACTCACTCATTATGATGGACAAAGCCTCCAGGAGAAATCCTCTCCTTGATGGAGAGGCCAATCTAGCCCTGCAGCACTTTTTGCACGTGATGTGTCAGGAGGGGCTGATGTGTCAGGGACACCCTTTAGGAAATTACTTCATCTTCTGCTTACCTAATCCTGAAGGTCCAGGAGGGCCTGGCTGGCCAACAGGACCAGGCCTTCCAGGTGGACCCATGACACCCGCAGGTCCGATGTCTCCCTTCAGCCCCTAGAAGTGAGGAGACATCCACTTATTTGCTAAAGTATTAGTAACACACAACCTCTTCCAGTCAACATTGTTTTCCCTTTCAAGACATTTGCCAGTAGAAGCATGCAGCATGAGCACCTGGGAAGAGGTGCTTTCCCCTCCTACGTGGAGACAGAAAGGCATGCCCAGGCAGGATTCCTGCTCCTAAATGTCAACAGTCACAGGGATCTGTTTTGTGAGGAGTCAGGAATCTCCCTGATCTGACTTCAACCCTCTGATAGCACTTCTTTAGGGATGCTTTTTTACCCCTGGTAGCTCTCTAGGAATCAGTGCAGCCCAGAAAGAAAGGGGAAAATCACTAGGGAATTGTCAGGCTGCCACAGTGACATTTCCCAGTCTCAGGGTGCAGTCTTTGAGAAGCACAGTAATGACTTTGAAGCCCACACTATTTTCAGAAGTACTTTAGATGCCTGGATTACTATATTTCCTTGACTTTCACTATGGGTATAGCTGTGTTAATGAATCATCATTAACATGGGCTTGACTTTAGAATGTGCAAGATAGTGTGTAGCAACACCTTACCAACAAATGGTGTCCCCCAGGTACCCTTTCAAGCAGTCAAAATACTGTAAAATTACCTGTGGGACAAGAGTTTATATGCAGGTACCATACAATAGCTAATATTCTGTAAAACCAGCCCTAATCTGCCTCATGGGAGTTTATTTGGGCAGTCATACCCTTAGGTATTTGGAAGTTTCACTGTAGAAGTGTTCAGCACCTTCCTATTTTTTACTCCTGAATTTAACACAGTGACACTTATTAAAAATAACTACACTTATCTTCTTGCTCATATACTCCCCAAGGCTTGGATTTTTCAGCTTTATATTTCAGAAATGTATCACATTGCTTAAATATCTGAGTTGATTTTTATGTAACAGTATACATTATTTAGCATAGTAAAAATTATGTGTAATGTGTAAGCTTTCTTTAAATGACAAAGGAGATTATTTCCCTGAAGATGGTGTAATTCCAGGTTAATGTGCATTCAGAGGCATATGATGAGTGGTTGTATGTTTAATTTAAGAGTAACAAAGCATATACAGTAATATATAATATGCTATATGTATGCGTTTGAATGTCACTTGCACTATTTCAGCAGGGGAAGGTTGATTTTGCTATGGCCCATAAAGAACTAATTGAATATTTGCTTTGTTTAATCCTATTAGGTAAGCTCTGTGCCATCAAAATATTCCAGGATTTATGGGGGTGTCAGTGATGCTGATCTCTAATTACTTCTTACATTACACAACACAGAACTAGCAGGCCAGGGTTTTGTAGCCCCAAAGAAGACTGTGGGAAATCTCTTTCCCCCACACAATAGCAAGTTCACAGAGGGAAGACAGCACCAGTTGGATGTGTACTGCCTGAGAATGAGCTGTTTTCAAGGTCTCCTGCTTTGGAGGAATGATTGCTTAATGCTCTCCTGCTTAGCATAGATAGATTAAATAATAATGGCAGAGGTTCATATTAAATGGTTTTGCCTTGTTTTTTTTTTCACGTGTCCATGGCTTTCAGAGGAGCTTTTTCCATTGACAATATTTATATTCCTCTCTTTTCTTTCAAAGTAACATCATCTAAAGCCCTAAGTCATTCTTCCTTATCAAGACTGAAACCCTAAACTTGGTCCTTAGGGTGAATTCCCAAGTTACAAAGCTTTGGGTGTTATGTCTCAGTTAGCAGCAGTGAGGTTGTGACTCCCTGTTCCTGGACACCTTTTAGGAAGAGCCTGGCCCAGAGGCAGGGGAGAGTTGGAGAAGTCAGTGAGCTAATCAAGAAGTTTCTCAAAATGGAAGTGGAAGTGACACCTTCCTAATTTAGCTGCTTTCATCTAGCCATGTCAGCTGGATCAAGAGACAGGAAATGGCCCCATGTTGATGGAAACTCTCCTCTCAGCTGAACAAACAACTACACCACTTAAAGGTGGCAGCCAGATCCTTAGAGCCTTAAAGTGCCACTCTCTATTTTTTTTCAACGGGTTAGAAAAGAAGAAAGGAAATCGCTAGCTCACTGGTTTACCGAGAGGGAAAGCTGGTTTTCATGCAGAAGATCAACACTGAAATTGCTTTTGGGGCATCAGAAAGGGATTTGTGTACTCAGCCTTGGGACAGGAAATGCCAATTTAAGGACAGACTAAACTTCTTTTGGTCACACCAATTGTTTCCTTAAATTGTGACACCCCTTATGTCACCACCTTTTGATTAAGGCACTGTATAATGTGACAAAATGTTTAAGGTCAATTAAGGAGTGCACTGTGCTCAAGTTGATCTGGAGGTACTGCATCTTCCCTTTGCCTCTTGCTGTGGAAAGACATTATGTGCATGGTGCTTTAGCAGGACAGATGAACAGAGCTCACAGAAAAAAACAAAACCAAAACCAAAACAAAAAAAAAATCCCATTGAAGGTCACACATCAACTTTTAAAACATGATAAATCTACAACAACAAAAAAAATATTTCTTGTGGGTAATCTAGCAGACTTACACGATACATGCCTTCCTTACTTGGGAACCTGTTGTTCCCTCTTAAACACCAAACTTTTATCTTTTCCCCCACATTGGCTGTTCTATGATTTCAGGTATTACCTGATGGCATCAGAGCAACAATGAAGGAGTTATTTACCTCTCTTTGCAATGCTGGGCATAATCAGACTGCAAATAAAATATTTTCAGGTTAGCTCATTGGTAACCACGTCTACAGGCTCCTGTATCTGAGCAGTTGTACATTAACACCAAAGTCGGTGTAGCAAGGATAGGTTCCCTTCCCTGTTGGCAGAAAGAAACTGGTTCTGCAGGTGACACTTCAGAACACCAGGAACTGGTCCTTTCTGTGCCTCCAGTACCACTGTTTAAAATAAATACAAAAGGCAAGGTGTACTCAGAGAGGCCCATTTGGTGACTTGAATGGGTAATTATACCAATATTGTTACCTGCTTGTTGGAAAATGCTATAGTGGAGGAATCAATATCCAATATACACACAATTCCTACTCTTTACAATTGATCTGAAAGTCTGAATATGTAGCTCCGCCAGCATAATTTTGAGCTCTTTAGCTATCAGATGGGTCTGGGACCATAGCTCTCTGTTGCTTAGTATTCAAAGGAAGGGTTCAAGGTCTGCTCAAATTGTATTAAATGAGTGTGTTACCAAGTCAGGATAAATAAAACATTTCCCATGCTGCATGGCCAGGAAACTGATAAGATTATAGCCCTAAGGCTGAGGCTTTAACTCTTGTGTAGCCTGTGTGTGTGAGGTGTTTCAGAGCTTCTGTCCACTCCCCGTGTGATACAGTGCACGGTAAAAGAGAATAAACCACACAGTCACAGTCACGATCACACAGATGCCATGAGCCACAGGAAGAGGAAACACCATGGTCCTACTTGTTTGCCTCGTTTTCCAGGTCTTCCTATAGGTCCTCTGTGCCCCGGTACTCCGGATTGTCCCTTGGGGCCCATCTCTCCCTTGATGGGTATGGAGGGAAGGAAGCAGGATGTAAGTACATGGTTATACCTGCCTTATACAAGACAAGAGGCGGACATTGCTCTCATTCACACAGTTCCTCTAGATAATCAGACACCTTCTTCCTTAGAAATCCAAAATGCTAATACAATATTTTAAACCAAACATGAAGTAAAAAACATCTCTTACAATTTACCGACATATCCCCGAAAAATCCTTTCATAAAGAGGAGGACAAATGGAGAGATCAGGAGCATGCTCAGAGACTTGGGAAAGTCGAGGCTAGCAAAACTGTCTGACCCCTTGGCCAAATCTTGCTTTGCTGTCAAGATGCAAGTGTTATAAAGACACTCAGGCAAAGGGAGGTGAATTCAACCCTAACCTCCTTAGGAGTATCTACTATTTTCGTATCCTAATTTCAGAGATATTATGTGATTATGCAAAAAAATATCCTCCTTTAGGTTTTCCATAAGCTAACATCTTCATTTTGTTTGTTTTTCAAGTATAGAAAAACAATGACATAAGAACTTATCAGGGCTATCACTGCTATTTATAGTAGAGCCATTTCAATTAGGAGTATCAAAAAAGAAATATTTACTTGTTTCAAATGAATAAAACCCAAACAGTTAGAGCAGTTACAATATAATCAAGAATTTAGATATGTTAAACAGGAGGAAGATTATAACTGAACAAATGATCTGGGGGAAAAAAGAGAAAAAAACAAAAACCAGCTAAATTGGAGTTTTCTCATAAGCTAAAAATCCTAAAGAATTTGATCAAGTCCAAGCAGTGTTGGTCATTGAGTCAAGCAAGACCTTTCCAGGAAGTCCCTGAAGTCACTAATTGTCCCTTGGTTAGCATTTAACACAACTCCCCAACACATCACACCCACTTACTTTTTGTCCCAGCATTCCAGGGAAGCCTATTTCTCCCTACAAAATCAAAGGAGAAAAATAATAAGAAAATGTGTAATGGTCTTTGACAAAGCAGCACCTTCCTCGGAAGGAGGAAAATCAAGTGTCATTGATGGATATCAGTTAAAAAATCCTGCATTGACTCAGTATTGCAGGTCATTTAAGAGGTGGAGAATTATAAGCAAAATGTTACTATAAAGCCCTGTGATGGTTTTAGTCTAGGCCTTCCTTGGTGACCAGTTTGTAACCAAGGAAGAAGCCAAGTACCCAGTATTCCACACAATTTTTACGTAAACCAGAGTATAAATAAGTCAGAGATTAGAGACCTCGCTCTCTTCTCTTCCGGCGAGGTCTGGGAACAGTAGGTCCCTGCGTTGGTCTCGCTTATCTAAGGCTGAGGCCTGCAGAGTCCGCTGTCCTACCACGTGGGGGTTTGAAGAGTGCTGGCTGTGACTGCCAATCCTGCTGTTCTAAGGGACGTGGTGAGATCTGTTTTGTTAGTTATTAGTATAGTTCGATCTAGTATACCTGTTTGGTGTCCCTTTTATTCCCTTTTGTCCCCTTTTTCCCTTTCCCTATCCCTGCGGGGGGTGGACCCCCTTTTTCTGTGTATATAACATCTTAACTGTATATAACTGTAATTTGCGTAAATATAGATATATTTTTATATAAGCAGCTTGATTATGGGTTCTTTAATTTTTATAGTTTCTTTCTCCTTTAACCTAAGGGAAGAAAGAAGGGGGGAAGGAGGCTGCTGTCCTAGCTTTTGGGCATTTGGCAGGGAGCCAAGTCCAAACCGTCACAAGCCCTTTGTATGGTAATGCTACTCCTCTGATTGTCTGCTTTTCTGCTCTGGTAAAAACCTCTCAATTATGCTTTTGTCTACAGGCAGCCCTGTTACCTGGACAGCTCCCAGAGCCGGCCTTTGGGAATGACATTTTTGCCATTTGCATCAAAAGCACTTTTTCCTTTCTTACTTACAAGAACCTCCAAGACATGAATGTCTACCCTTCTTCCTCTCCTCATATTATCTTATCACCTGCTAAAAGCGTTCTGGCTAGCTGCCAGAGTTCTGGACTGCACAGGCCAGGAGAAACTGAGGTTACCTCCAGGGAAATCCCCCTCTGACTCATCAACCTCCCTCCTCCCCCCATCCACTGGGGCTGGGGGATACACAGACATGGAGTCTGTCCCACCACCCTCACATCAGATGGGACCACTGCCTTCCCTCACCACTCCTGCCCTCCCAGGAAGATGTTTCCATGCTCCATTCCTCCATGCCACTCCTGTTTTTTGCTCTTAGAAGCACCTTGCTCTTCACATGCACCTTCAGTTAAAGATCACAGCGACTTGGAAAAGAAAATTACCTGGTCTCCTTTGACTCCTTTGTCACCCCTGTCACCTCTGGATCCCTGGAGAGAGATAACAAGGGGACAACAGCTTCATTACCACCATTCCATTAGGAAGCAAAAAACATCTCTCAAATAACAGTGTGTTATTTGAAGCCAGCAGAATACAGTAACGTCTTCAGAGCAAGGTATACAGTTCATTATTGATATTATAATGGAATTAAGAGCAAAGCCTATAGGAAAAGGGTGTCATTCTCCCCAGACAATTCTTTAAATACATGCTTTCCTGGACTTGATTTTTTCTTCCAGTTGCTTCATTCCCCAGTTCAAGTCCCACGGTAAGGTCTTACAGTAAAAACTGTCTCCATGCCAAAGCGTGTATCACCTAACTAAACTAGACCAAAAATTAAGGATTATTATACCCATTCTGCAGATGAGGAATCTGTAGTGAGGTTCACTGTATCAACTTGTCCTCAAGAAGACAGGGTGTAAAACTCACTTCTTCAGCATCCCAGCCCAAGCCATGAGACTGCGCTTCTTCTCTAGACTTGTTTTTCATTTCTCAGTGGGACCTTTGGACTTCATCAAAATTCAATCTCATTCCTACAGTTACTTTTTTTTAACATAACTGTTTCCCAATATTAAATTATACACAATATTCTATTGTCACACTGACCTTTTCTCCTCTAGTTCCAGGAAAACCCTAAAGGGAATGATAGATATTTTAATGCTTCTTGCTTTCGAGATCACCCAAGAAGCCGGACTTTCAAACTTTGAAGCGAAGAAAAAGAACGAAGCACAAATAATTAATTGCATCAACTTGTAAATGCAATGAATATTTATAGCTCCTAAAATTGCACTGAAACAGAACTGTGAAACCTAAGTTAAAGGTACAACAACTCAGCCCAAAAGCCAATGTGAAAAAGCCAGGTAAAGTCAGCAGATTTGATATTACTTTAAAATTGAAACAAGTTAAATAAAATGTAACTGAAAATGAATAAAGCATTGGATGCCACAAATAATAATCTAAAATCATTTTAGCAATAATATTCCTCTTCTGTTTTGTTTGTTTGGGGGTTATTGTGTTTTTTACCCAATGGAATATCTTTTAGTAGTACTTGAGTAACCTAATGTGATCATTAATATAAAACTGATCTTTCTCTTAAAGAAATATGCAGCAAATAGTGGTGTTCAGTTCTTCCTTCTAGTCCTTTATTTGAATAAACTGATTACCTAATTTTTTTGAAGAACCATAAAATGTTGTGGTTTAAATTTTTAAAGGCACTCTATGCTATAGACAATGATACTGGAAGAGCCAGATCAAATTGTGCTTCTATCCAAATGTCAATACATATGCATAGTTTTAGCAGAGGACCAAAATGATCTCCACAGTCCATGAGGTGGGTAGAAAACATTGCAGACAGGATTTAATGCTGCAGATATGCTTAAGAACTTCATTTTTCTAGTGTGATACAATTATATGTGAGTTTGCTTTTAAAATGAATTACAACAATTTATACCAAAGCATTTTTAGGAAAAGCTAAAAGCACAGCCAAGCCCAGCCACACAACATAACCTTGCTTGATGTAGAGCATATCTTTTTAGCTGTATTAGAAAAGATATATGTTGATAAATGTTTTCCAGCAAATTCATGAGGGAAGCAGCTGTCAGCAGAGTGTTAGAAACCAATGTCTGAAAATGCAGCATTTGGTTAACAAACCTTGGAGCCCATTGGTCCTCTTGTACCTGGCAATCCCATCACACCCAACTCTCCCTTTTCACCCTAAAGGGGTCAATAAAGAGAGTTATTGATTGTGGCTCTCTGATGACATCATATTTGAATGTCTGACAGTTTAGTGGTTCAGGTTTTATGTCAAATCGTTGAGATAAGCCTGACCCTGATGTAGCACGGTAGACAGAGTTCTACATTGCAATTGTATTCTGCCTGAGTCCTCACATGCTATCTTACTCTTCTATTTACATTTTCTTGTGTGCATAACTCATACTCCAGTTTTGCCAGATGTTATTAAAGGACATGCAAGCAAACCACCATCGCCTTTTCTGCATGAAGGTGCATTGTCTCTACCCGGCATCACTTCCACTTCCACTTCCACTAGGTTGCAGAAAAGAAAGGTGTTTTGCTGCATGCCTTATGGCTTGGGGAGGCATAGGGACTGCTTTTAATGTAGTTCTGGGACATCATGTGCTGTACAGTCATTTGGAGCCAGTAAATCATGAAAAAAATTTACAACAACTTCTCTGGCTACTGTCAGCTAATTATATCTAGCATGAAATAATGGAGTAGATGGCCAGACATGCAGCAGCACTACGAGCAGAATATATTTGCCTCTCATTCTCCTTCAGCTTTCACTGTCCTAGAAATGGAGGGGATTTTCACATTGGCTGCTGACCCTGGAAAAGTACAGAAAAGACTTGAAGAAACAAAGTAGGAGAAATAAGGACCGAACTAAGGCTGTGTCAAAGAAAGAGAAGACAAGGAAGGAGACCCAGCTGAAGAAGTAGCGAATATCCACAGAGGTGGACATGAGGATATAAAGCCAAACAGCAGCACATTGGAGATTTACAGCAGGAAGAGGATGCAGCAAATGTTTATGGTGAAGATGTATCAGAACTCTGAGAAGATCAGAGATGGGGGAAAAGGAAAGAGAGATAAAATCAACTGATATGAGACCAGAGATCTGCTGGACTGTATTCAGTTGGAGCCTTCATTGACAGGCAGAAAACCAAAATTTATAGAGATCAGAAAAAATAAAGTTGTGAACTTTTCTAAAGAACAGAGGAGACCAGTATCAGAGGAGACAATAAAAGCACAAGAAGTGAAATCAAACAGCAAGTAAGAACTGCAGCAAAAGTATAGAAAAAAGTATTACTACTGAGTGTGAGGGATGCTTTTAGGAGTGTGATGAAAAAGCATAGTAATAGACAGAGAAGATTAAATCAAAATCATGAAGACTAAATATATGTATATATATAAATATATATATATAAGCCTATATAAGGAAAAGACTAAGTGAACGAGTTTTCTGTCTGCTTTGCTCTCTTCTTTCACTAAGACTATGAAGTTAGTTGAACCTTCCCTCTGCCCTCACTGCTCCCACTGTGGGAAATCATAACACTCAGTTTGTTTGAGGGGGGACACCATTTCCCATCTCCCAGTTCACTGATTTCTTTTAAGTACATACTCTCTTGTTGCTTGCCTATATTCTCACATACTATAATGTGATATTCATCTAAAATAGCTTTAAAGATCTTGAAGGTCTGCTTCCAGATGTGGCTTGAGTTAGAAGTCATCTTCTATTATTCTTGCAGTATCAAGAGCTACTTCATCATATCCTCTGAGGTGAAGACATCAACCTTCATAGAGCAAATGAAGAATCAAAGATCTACTGGAAAATGCAGCTTCAAACTAAGGATTGTGTGCAGTCCTTTTGCCTAATGCATACTGAACTGAAAAATAAAGCAAGTTATCTCAAAAGTTCTACTAGAAACTCCATAAACTGAGGCTCCTGTGAAGAGCTGTATACCTTTGGCATAAGATAGTACTCACTAAAGGACTGTCCTGAAGCTTTTTTTATAATAAATGCAGATAAAGCAGCCACTCTGCAGTAGCAAAGTGTGTCCTGTCATTTCTTCTGCTATTAGTTAATAAAAATAACAGGAATGAATGTTTATTTGTATGGGAATGAACTTCAAGGATGTGATAAGCAATCCTCATGGTTTGTAATCTCTTTCCCCTGACACCAGCCTGGTGTTTTCTCTCTGATCACACGGGCTCACAGAATACCTTCAGGCAAAGGGTTCATCATAAAGAATAGTCATAAAGATGATGATGGGTTTAGAAACACTAATTCATGTGATTGTGAGACACCAGGGGCTATCAATAAGTCTTTATTAGGCTGATTTTTTATTTCCCTTGGCATGTTTAATCAACATAAGAAATGCTACAGGGATTGGGTTGGTGGAATAACCTAATCCTAGACTGGGCACGCCACTGTAAGAAATGGGACAAGCACGGAGTGTCCTTACACTGTTACATCTTCCCAGCCTCCAGCAGGTGGTTGTTTAGAGACTTCCCAAGACAACTATTCTGTCCTCATGATGCTGAATGGGTTGTTCCATGTGAATTTTAGTCTTACCTTCGGTCCCGCAGGTCCAGGCCATCCTACTGGTCCTGGCATCCCAGGGACACCCGGGGGACCCGGTCTACCCTTGAACGGAAAACATTGATTACAATGATTCATAAAACATCATTCCTACACACTCTACTGCAGACAGGAGATAAAAAGGCCTGCATGTAATTATGTCGATATGAATCCAATTTGTGGTAAGAGCAGAACCAAATCTTCAGCTAGCCATTCCTATTGCTATTGTTCTTATTCTAAACATTCCTATATTATGAGCTATAACTGCTCTTTATTAACTACTATATGACTAGCAATAACTGCATACATACAGTTATTTACCTGTTTTAATTACTGCCCATAAATCACTCTTTGAATATCTCCTAAAATGCTGCAGTTTAATGCTATTCCACTGCATTACACTGCTTGGCAACATGATATTAGAAACATCATCATGACTTTTGGGGCCAAGAGTGAACTTCCAAGGGCCAGACAGCTTTTAGCAAGAGTTATACTGTTTTATTTTCATCCTGAGTGACTTCTCTTTTGGAACCTACTGTTTTTTGTCAGAAGTATCAATGTACTGTGGTTAAGGTTTGTACCTTCTTGTACATTGGTGGGTTACTCTCTCGAAGACATTACTGTTCTGAACCCTTGAATTTATATAAATAATATTTTCGTTTACTGCAATTTTTGTTTACTGGGATCTATTTGCAAATAGATTAGTTTATGTGTTTATGTGTTTTATATGTATTTTTATTACTGATTGGTAGGTGGTTCGTATTATTAGAAAGGTGTTAAAATCCTTAGTGTATTATTAGAAGAGTACTTCTTTTCCTGGGTAGTGACTACCCTCAGCACATCTCTGATTTCATCCTGCATTTCTGTCTTCTTTTAAAATTAATTACATTAAATGGATGTACTTAGTGACTGAGATAACATATTCTGTTTCATCACATGTAGGGGCACATATTTTTGACAATATATCACAGCTCATATGTCACCAAGTAAGCCTAGGATTGTAGTCAGCATGTTGCATTGGTGCCAAAACTCTGGAATTGTAATCATTAATGGTTATTCCTCCTTCAAGGGTATCTGGATGAGCCTTGTTTAGACTTTGAAAAAATAAAAATTTGATTTTGCTTTGGTTTTTTTTTTTTTGATGCATCTTTTATGATAGCTCCATACCCTGCTTCCACTCTCCCAGGAGACAAAATTCAGGTAATTTCCCACTCTGTTTAACCAGTCTCCATGCATTTATTGAGGGAATTTGTTGAATTCAAATCATCTAGGGCAGCTCTCCAGCCCTGCACCTGGAGTTCCCTACCATCTACCCTGGGTACCAGTCAGAACTGCACAAACAGATTAAACTTCAGCACTGGCTAATTATTTTCCGCTGTTGTCTGCACCCCTCTTTGGCAGTATTCAAGTATTCAATGGATTTTTGAGACAGCACCTTTGTTCATACCTTTCTTCCTGGCCTGCCAATCTCCCCCTGCCAGAGAAAGGAATACATTAGTCTTGTAGCCACCATGTGAAGCACGGTGGTCCATAAGTCAATGCATCGATGCATTTAAATTAAAAACAAACAAACACACAACAAAAAAACAAACAAAACATTGGGAATATCTTTGTGCTCAAGACTCGGAGGTAAAATGAGAAGAATTACTTTATCAGAGCTCCTTGGTCTTTCCTCTGTTCTCAACCCCAAATCTGTTGTTGTCACCTTGTGTAATAAAGCACATAACCACGTGCCCAGCTCCAGGTATAAAGTTCTTTAGGCATCATTATGGAACAAATGTTTTGCATATTTGAAAACATAGCTTAACATACAGGCCAGTTTTAATACCTGAGCTGCCCCATACAATTCACACTACAGGGGAGAGCTCTGCTTTTCCCCCCCTTCCAGTGGGACAGGGAACTCAAAGGCTTTTGAATCAGTAATACTGCTGACTTGTGAACCTGAGCTGCTTTCTTAATGCCTACCCTAAACAGAGGTACCTATCATGAGAAGCCATAAAAATATTTCAAGACCGAAAATAAACATTGAAAGATGAAGTTTTAAATTATATCTTCAAAGCAACTCATAGCTTTGCATTCCAATTAAAGCAAATCCCCCCATTCCTAAGATTCATCATTCACTTAACAGACAAGGAAAAAGTGAAAGTCCTCCCCTCCTTCTTTGCCCCTCAAAAACTTATCAAACTCCAAAACAAAACACACTTACTTTCTCCCCTTTTGGTCCCATTATACCAGGAATTCCTCGTGGACCCTAGGAAGAAAAGTGAATGCTATTATTAGACTTCATTAGTGAGGAGGCACTGCTGGTTGTCTTCCCTCAACCCCTGACCCTGTGGATGTTTCCTGGGAACAGTGTGAACCTGTGAGCCTGAGGTGCTGAATGACATGTTTGAATGTGGCCTCTAAATATCAGGTCTGTGCCACGGCTAAAAGGGAGGCTGGAGAGCTGGACTGACATGGGAAGTGCAGGGGCATCTCATGGATGACGGGAACCAACAAGAAAAACAAGCCAGGGGCAAATGAAAGATGAGAAGTTATCAGAGTCCTGAAGAATTAACAACAGGACGTGGAGACACTGCATTGGCTGTGAAAGGAGGTCAGCCTCTCTCTCTCAAATCATACTGATTCTCCTTTCAGGAGACTTCTTAATCCAGTGAGACCTTGAACTCCATCTCAGAAAAAAAAAAAAATCAAAACAGAAAACCAGTTTTGTTTGTAGAATGTTTCAGTTCACAGACCACCTTTTATTTTTGAGTGACTAAGGAAAAACATCCTGTGATCCTGCATCACAGAAGCATTAGATTCACAATACAAATCATTCACTCCAGGTTTGGATCCTGGCTGCCTTGTACTGTCCAAAATGTGATGCAAATTGTACCAGAATAGGAGTAAAATGTACCATCAAATGCAAATTTCAGGTTTCCAGTAGTGCAAATCAGAATGCACCCTATTAGAGTCAGAGACAAATTTTACCTTCTTTCTTTCATTAGAAGGCTAAACATGGGAGGAATTATAGTGAGTAATGCCATTACAAATCTAATCCTCCTTCTAATGAAAAAGTGTTAAAATTCAGCTATGATTCAACAGTATGAGCTTTTGCAACTCCTCTGAAAGTCATGCAAGCTACAGTAGAAAAGAATTCAGTACTTAGTAGATCTCTTTTTGTAATGGTAGTATTCTTTTAAGGCTGCCATTGTCACAAAAGTATTGCCCAGAGGACTGCTGGTTCTGATGTTGTCCCTTTACAAGATACAGTCCTATAATTTATAATTAAAAATTCCAAAGCCATGTTATACCCACTCTACTGTCTGCTGTTGTGATAAAATCTGCCAGCCTGCTCTATTTAAAAATGTTCTTGGAGGGATCATAGGTCATTTGGTTACAAGATTAATATTATTTATAGCAATAGACTTTGTAGAACAATAGAATTAACATTACTGTTCTTCCAGTGTAAGCCAGGGACAGTATTAAGAGATTTTTTATCTTAAAAAAAAAAAGACAGTCTAGTGAAGACTGAAGTAACAACTGTGTCTTTCACATGTATGGCAACTCTGGATCATGGCCAACCATATTGCAGGGCTGTTTCATAATGCAGAGGCTTTTCTCAGTACAGGACTGGAGAAACACCTCCCATCGCTTCTCACCACTCCTCATCATTCTCATGCAAAATGAATCTGCCTCGTCCTACATCTCAGCAAAGATGAAATGGCAGAACAATAAACACAAGGTTTGTGGGGGTTGAAACTAGATGACCTTTAAGGTCTCTTCCAACACAAACCTTTCTATGATTCTATAAAAAGAAAACTTTGTGGCTTTCACCTTGCAACTTCTAGACTATTTACAAATACCTTCTGAAATATTGACTTCTAAATAATTAAAGCTGAGCTTTTTGCCACATAACTGAACCTTTACTTTGATGTGCTGTCCATGCTTTTTGAATAGTGTTTGGGTGCTTGTTCACTTCTTGTGCTGCCAAAGCCTCAGTCATAGCTTTGCTGCAGCAAAGGCCCAGTGCCATCTCTGCCATTACCTATATTGTAATAAACTGGCACCCAGGGGCCTTCAGGAAGATCACTGTCCCAAAGAACCAGGCACAGCACATAGATTAGGACTGCCTGTGCCTCGGGAGAAACTGGAAGTACCTCACCATGAAAAGTCTCATTTTCGTTTGTAGGGAACAAAATAGAATGGAAAGGCAAATTGAACATCTTCTCCCCATTACAGAGATGTCCATAAAAAACTTCCCTCTAGAGGTGATCTGTTTCCTTAGAAGAAGGTGATCTGTTTGCATGGGGATCTGAGCAACCTGACCTAGTTGAAGATGATGTCCTTGTTTGATGTAGGGGGAGATTGTGCTAGCTGACCTTTAAAGGTCCCTTCCAACTCAACCTGTTCTGTGATTCTAAGATTTCTGACCTTCCTCTAAAGATTACTGGAAGCGTAAATTGCCGAAAATGAGGTGTGAGGTCAAAAAGAGTCAGCCAAGGCTATTCAGCAAGTCAGAGGCAGAGATGTTGCAGATCAATCTATGAGATCATCCACTTCCTGAATCCCACCCCTCTGCCCTGCTGAAGCCCCTCCTTATCTCTGGCGTCTGCTGTAGGTGTTTGCCTTCCCAGAGACGTACTCTGCTAACATTCCAGTCCATTGCATCTCTTGTGCATCCACTCCACAGGCTTTTGTACTCACATAAAGGGACAACAGAGTCTAAAGCAAAGAAAAACCTGATAAAGAACCTCTGAAAGAAGTGATGGCGCCTCTGGGATTTTTGATGGGTGCTACCCCCTGGAGAATTCCACAAAAATGGAGGGAGAGATTGAAATAGACTGGAGTATGCAAGGCAGGGATGAGAAGATAGGGTAAAGAGCCTACATGATTTATGCTAAGAAGTCATATCAAAATGAAATTAAGCAGGGCTTGGTATGCTTGGAGCAAGTGAGCGAATGATGTGGTTTAATCACAAATGCATCACTCACCTGGGGGCCAGGAGGCCCTGAAGGACAATGTGATTCAGGCAGAGAAGAAGCCTGTATTATCTGGAGTTCATGACACAACTCTTCCATGTCCACATCAAGCAGCTTCTACCAAACATAAAACATACGAGTGAACATGCAGCCGCACGTAGCCTGCTGGAGAAATGCCTACAAATCCAGCCACCACACGCTACAGTCTCAAGTGAGTTTATTCACACCCTTAGGAAGATGCCTAGGGTTCGTTAGAAGGTTCTCTTCATGGATGTTTGAATATCAGCACTTCAGCATATCACAGCCAGGCTGCTGCGTGTGTCTTCGAGCCAGAGCGGGACCCTGGCCTATTCTTAGACCTGACCCTGCTCTCTCTCTGTCCCACTTTGCAAGTAGCAGCTCCTCTCCTAGAATAGTGTCTTTGCTCTAATAATAGAGACTACACTCTGGGAGGGCATAGGCAGTATGAACTTCGCTCCAGAGGATACTAACCCGCAGACATTCGTTCACTGCAGATCAGAGACGATGCCTTAAATGATAGATGGATGTCTGATCTTTTGAGTTCAAAATTAAGCTTTCATGAGTAAAATGCCTTGTTTATATCCTGTGACAAAGGTGATCTCCCCCTGGAAACACGGATGAACACTGAGCCAGAAACACTGGATCAACACAGCTGATCCTCATCTCCCACATGAAAGGTTGCTTTCCAGAAAGGCTCTGACTACAGACTCCAAAGCACAAACTGCTCAGAGTGAATTCACGTGGCTTACACTTTGCTCACAACTACTTATTTTATTTCATGTTTTTATGGGGGAGGTGGTGTGAAGTGTGATTTTATGCTCAGGTTACTCTCTGGGCTGCTTTCAGGAATCTCAGGAACCATAGTTCCAACTTCATCCTCACTGAAGGAGTACACCACACTCCTTGAGAGGTTTTGTCTCTGAGTGTACTTTCTGTGGAAATCAAGGCATAGACAGCGGAGGTGATGAGGAAAGCAGAGGCAACTAAATTTTTGATCTGGAGAGGATAACACCCTGAGTTCAGTCTTAAACTCCCTCAAGTGCAGGATTTTACACTATATTTTTTCTTGGGTTAGTTCTTGTCTGACATCTTACTAATCATTATTTACTAGCAATAATTGCAGTATTTGTATATGGTAAATGGATTATAGAATTAAGAATAGGAATTACTGAGTGGGTATAAAAAATCTTAAAAATTGGGATGGAAGATATACTAGAGTTAGCAGACCCTGTCAGCAGGAGTAATTAGGCAAACTGCTATATCCTACACCCATCATGTTCTGTATGTTGCATTTGTTAACGTGTGTGTATGGATATGTGTCACATAGTGCAGGTTTGTGTGTAGGTGGGTGAGTGAAAACTGCATACCAGCAACTCAAACTTGTCTGTCCTGCAAAACGAAATGCTGGGAATAGATTCCATAGGAGGAGTTTAGGACCTTCATTTCACCTACTGGATAAGGCCAATGTGATGCAAAACAGGAAATACACATAGTCTATGCCCTGAAATCATTGGGCAGAATGGAGCAGTGCCTTTCTGTCCTCACTTGATTTATTGCATTGCCATTTCCTTTAACTCAGGATTGCCTTACTCTTAAAGTCCCAAAATAGAGTAAGGAGAATATGTTAAGTTAATTGAATTAACCGCCTGAACAAACCCAGCCTTATTTCACTCTTTGATCTATTTGGGATTTACTTCAAGCCCATGTCTGGGATGTTGAGTGATTGTCCTAACAGAGCCATATCAACACACCCAGGAGGGTTTGCTGAGTGACACCACAAGGTAGTGCTTGAGAGGATGCTTCATCTTTGTCATACATTAAATGTCATGTAAAAGCAGAGAGAGGCTTTCAGCCAGACTTACAGTGCTCCAGCTGTGTCTGAAGTACGGTGGTGGGAACAGGGGTGGTGGAGGAGGGCCAAGGAGGCAGCACGCTCTGCAGTTGAGCTGTTTCTTCTGTTCCAAACAAGGGAGATCTGTTCAATACAAACACTCATCTGTCGTCTTGAACAGCACAAACATTTCTTACAGAATAAGAGAAGTTTCCATTCCTCAGGATTTTCCTCCATCCTATGTGAACTGATTGCAACACCATAATCCAAGCCGGAATTTAAGAAACTGGGTGGACCCTTAAGGCTGTAAGTTCATTCTTGTGCTGAAGGCCAAGCAGAATTTTAAGCTCTTAATGTGGCTCTGACACAGGCTGATTCTGGAAAAATTCAGATATTAGAACAAAAATCAAATATTTATGTTTTTCTCCCCTCTCTGTTCCAAAAGTGTATTACAAACTATTTCTTCTGGTCCCTGCTATAGCCTGTATGCTGTAACAGAGAAGCACTTGTGCTGTTGCCCACAACCTTCCCCATGAACTAAATCACTTTCAGTACTGCTGTGGGAAGTGGGAAGTGGGAAACTGTTTCATAGCACATTTGCTTGTATTTCCCCTGGAACTGCAACCAGGTTGCTTTATTTCTGATTTGTGCATCATCCCTAAGAATAAATACCCTGAAAGCCAGACTTAGCTGATAGTTTTGTCACTGATGATTGGTAAGACAGGATCTCAGTTCTGTTTGACAATGTATTTGACTTTTTCCAAGAGTTAAACTTCCATCAACATTGTAAGAAGCTGTGACCAAAGATTCACAGAGGAAGAGTTTTAAGATGGTGCATTTATACAGTGTAGGTTTATTCCTGTATCTATTTACTCTTAGGGAAATACATTTCTAATCAGAGTGGGGGCCTTCTTCAAAGGTTCTGTCAAGGACAGCAAATATTTATTTATGCCTGTTGGCTTCTTCCTCTGGATAGTAGAAGCTGGAATGGGTGCCTGTGAGCTGAAGGGTGGCAGGAAGCCAAATACAGTTGGAAGAAAAGCCTAGGGTGAAGTATCTGGTATTAATAGAAAATCTCTAAATTAAGTTTCTGGGAAGACAAACCTGACGAAATTGCTAGATTTGTGTGCAATTCAATTGCAGGCTGGATATTAGTCACATCTCAAGGCAAGGGAAATTTTCCAAAGGACAGAGATACTTCTAGTCTTTCCAGTGTCTCAGGAAATGTAATATATCAGTTTCACCATCCCACACTAATGGGGATGGCATTTTCTCAGTCTTGATGCACAGAAAAATATTGTCCAGATGACTGTGATTGAGCAGCATTCAGGGGTAGTTCACGTCACCCAGATTTTTTTCTCTATCAAATCACTATTTGTGATGATGTCTTTGAGAATGAGTCAATTAAAATCTGAAGGGGTCCATCATAGGAAGACCACCATAATGGAAAGATTCTTTCTCAGCTTTTCCTCATAAGTTTGAAATTCAGCCAAAACCTTCAATTTAAGAGAAAGGCAGAAGATTTAAAAAAAAGAAATTATTTCATTAAAAGCTTTAAATATACACTGAAAATGCCAATGACCTCTAAAAAGTAGTAAAAGCTTGAGTTGCCTGTCTCCGGCTCTCACAAGGAATAATATATAAAGATATGAAGAGTTAGATTTTATATTGGCTTTAAAGAATTCAATCACTCATGCAGCCATAACCATCTTCTGTGGTTGTCTGAATTTCAGGATTGTATTTGAACATATCGTAGTGGGACTAAATAGCACCTTATTAAAGCAATGGACAGTTTGTAATTTAACAGGGTATAAAGTGTGATTATTATTTTATTTTAGGCCACATTCTAATATAATCTTTCTTATTGCATGATCTAGCTAATTTTCAATAGGATTAGTATCATTCAACAAGAATAAGATTATCAAAACTAGCCTGATGTGGCTTAGTTGCTAAGAGATCACTACCAGGCACTGTAACAAAAGGGTTGCATTACTGCAGTTGTACTGCTACTTTAGGTAAAAATAATAATTAAAAAAAAAAGTAAGCTTTTAAAATATTTTTTGAAGATAAGATTAAATAGAGATGTGTATCTATAGTTCTCATATGATACTTATCATGTGATACTTATCATTCATTAGTGAAACCTAGGCCTGGATTATAAAATATCTGGATTTATCTTTCTAGCAGAAAAGTCTGCAAATCAGTGGAATAGGCTTTATTGAGAAAAATGTTATAGCTAACCAAGTTGTTAAAAAATCAGCCACTGATTTCAGTCCTTATAGTCTTATACCAATACTACGGTAACACAGGTTAAAACCCAGTTTAGGTTTGCAGGTACAAAAAGTGATAGCATGCACTGATCTCAGTGTGCAAGCAAGCAAAATCTAGCTACTAGTAATAGTGATACTATTACTATAGATATTAGATAGATACTAAATATTAATAGATACTATTATTATATACTACTCTACAACTCCCTGAAAGGAGGTTGTAGCCAGGTAGGGGTCGGTCTCTTCTCCCAGGACAAGAGGGCACGGGCTTAAGCTCTGCCAGGGGAGGTTTAGGTTGAATGCTAGGAAAAAAATTTTTACAGAGAAAATGATCAGACATTGGAATGGGCTGCCCAGAGAGGTGATAGATTCACAGGTTTTTAAGATGAGACTAGATGTGGCACTTAGTGCCATGGTCTAGTACCCACAACAGTGTTGGATCAAGGGTTGGACTTGATGACCTCGGAGGTCTTTTCCAACCCAGTCGATTCCATGATTCTATGATTCTAATAGATGCTATTATTATATACTAAGTAATTAGATACCATTAACAGTGTAGATCCTACTATGTGGGACAGATATAATCTATATAATGATGTGGGTAATTGATATTTCAGGGGTTCCATCAGTAACCATGGCTACATCCTGGAAGGTGTATTTGTCAAGCCAAGTATTTCAGAAAAGGGTGGTCCTGGACCCAAGGACCTCCCACACTCATGTATTACAGGTGATATGGCAGCAAGGAGAGAAAAAAAAAGAGTGATTCACAAAGTGACTACAGGTATGACTGTTATAATCTGAGTTTCCAATAAGGACCACATTTCATTGGCATGGATTTTGTAAGTAACTGCAATAGCCCAAAGATGTACAACCATTACAGTATTGCCTTGATTTATATCACAAAAGGTTACCTTGGCAGGCTTACAGACTCTCTGCAAATGCAATGCATATTTTTAGGCTCCAGGTTAGCTTTGTTTGCTAAACAACAGCTTCAGAATACTCCAGTCCCCACCAGTGGAAAAAATCTCAGCCCAAGAATAGGACTGTCATAGTTTTCTGTGAAATATGAAGACCCCGCCTACACAGAGCATGTGTTTACATATCTCATATGGAAACTGCTCTTTCAACAACTTCAATGTCAAGAATATGTCAACATATTCAATAAGAGAAGCAAGATCAAATGAAAAACTTCTAGGACATGACAAAGAGGCAGTTGTTTTCAGAGAACATAAAAATTATAATAGCTTTAAAATAGAAATTATTGACCATTTTCAAATTATTTCTATGGTCTAGACTATAAATTAGTACAATTCTAGAAATTGACTATATATATCTATGGTATACTGCCAGTGGTTGCTTCAGAGAACAACATATTTTAGATTAGCTTTTGTGATGTTTCATTTTTTTCCTGTAGACTGCTTGTGACCGTAGCTGGAACAACTCTTACTCAAGATGGTCCAAAGCAAAGCCAGGGACAAGCCTTCACCCAATCGGAGTCCCTTTGAGTTGGGCTTAAATGAGATCTCTCAGGCCTCCCAGAGCTGATTCTGGAGCTGACATTTGACCCTATGAACCCCCACAGCTGTAGTGCAGGTACCAGAGAAGTCCTGCCCTGGGTTCAAGTCAGATTTACAGTACTTCATTGAGAACAACCGTCAATAAACCACAAAAATTACTTTTATCCTAAAATCACAAAACCGTAGGCCAAATGCCAGGAGGAGAGGACAAGAAAGGAAAAGGATACTTAATATGTGTTTCCCTTACTATTTATGACCACACTGATCCAGCAAGCCCTGACGGGAAGCCGAGCTGTTATCCAAAGGCTTCTCACTCTCACAGCAGTGCTGGTGGCTTGCCCAGCTTGTGACAGACAAGACTCTGCTAGATGGAGCCCTCTGATAGATGACACCCCATCACAGGTGCTTCTACCACTTGGATGGCTCTTAGAATTAATAATAAACAAGCTGGGCAAACTAGTCAATTAATGAATGTGGGTTTGTCCAGCTTAAATAGAGACTTTCATCTGCTTTGTTGTTATTCATTCAGGCTCCTCTTAACCTCCTTGCAAGGACAGCAGTGTGCCATGGGCTGCAGCCACTCAGTACCATTCTGTACGTCTACTGCCAGGTGACTAAGGCACTTTTCCCTTTTAAGTTAGAAAAGTTTAAGAGCTTGTTAAAAGTGCCTTTGAAAGCCATAAAGGTCAAAATCCCTTATTTATAGAGCAGATGCAGGCATTTAGCTCTCCTTCAAAACCCTAAAGATATGTGTCAGCATTAACCATATATGCTTCTTTAAAGTGTGTTTTATGAAGCTTTATGACACAAAGAGTGCCTTAAAGGCATATAAGCAGAGATGGCAATACAATTTGTGTCAGGACCTGGGTTGAACAGTCAGGTTAGAGAATAGTTTGCAAGTCTCAGTACCTTTTTGAATTTAGACCTTACAGTTGGTGGTCTAAATATATCTTTCCCTATAAACCAGGTTAAATATGCCAGAGAAATATATCAAGCTTAGGTAATGGTGTCTGCTTGGAGGAGGTGGTAACCCATGAAGTCCCTATGGGAGTTACAGGATGAGACATGGAGCTCTCCTCTTCTTTTAGTTTCATCTTGCTTAAAATGGAGCTTCAGTGTCTTTAAGGAACAGAGTAAAATGGATCACAAAATTAATTCAATTAACTTCAGAAAATTAGGAAATCCAGACAAAACCATGCAAGTTTCTTTTCATAGAATCATAGAATTCTTTAGATTGGAAAAAACCTCTACAGTTGTCAAGTTCAACTGCTAACCTACCCCACAATCAAGAAAATCTCATAAAACTTTGAAAATGCTCTACTTTTAATCCCCACAGTAACTACAGGATGTGACAGCA